CTACTTTGATCTCGCCGGCTGGAAGTTTTCTATAAATACCGTCATGGTCCGCCTATTTAGTTGGTGTGCGGCTCCACACCAAATGGGATTAGATAATTTATAAATTGTATGCTCTAGGGACAAAACGTTACAAGAATGTTTATGATTAGCTACCAAAACCAAAACAGTAGGGCCAGATTGTTTGTTTCCAGGGTCTCCGTTAAAGCCATTTCCATCGCAGTTTGAAATACATAGCCATACTTCGATGTAAAATATTGTTTTTAAAAATGTTTGTATTTAAAAATAACAGCTAAAAACCAATTGTCGTTTTGAACTACATTGAACTATCGACATCGATTGACGTTATATGACCTGCCGCTGTTTTTTTTAAATAAAGGTGTATTAAACATTGTTATTAATATGGTATTCTTCTTTCGATATATATTGCTGTAGTAGGAGAGAATTGAATCCCATTTGAGGGGCAAACACAGGTGTCGTGGCTCTGTCGCTTTCGACGACATCTTGACGTGATAAAGAGCGAGTAAAACATTCTCCCCAGCTCATGTTGACATGTATTTAAATCACCGACTGTAGATTATATTTCAACACACTTCCGGTCACACAGAACAATTATTTGCCACTCATTTATAGGCAAGTACGTACAGCAAAAAATGTCAAAGAAATCATTTGATAATACCGGTGAACGTTGTATCCATTGTTTACTTATCTGACAACCCTCTCCAAAACAGCAGCCAAGAAAAAAAACGTGAAATATCTTACTCGTAAAACCCATGTACACACCAATACCTCTATCAGATAGGAAATGTATTCATGAGTGTTCAGTGTTAAAAAAACGTAAAATTGCTTGTTTCACCACAACATTTAATTTTCTGTCAATGTATTACTATGATAATAATGTTTATGCATCTTTGATGCATTTAAGAAGTATTTGTCTCTAATGTTTCGCCTTTTGTCTGTCAGAGATAGGTTGTTTATGTTTGTATAATCTAATAGCAGCAAATCAGTAAACAGTACCCTGTCTCTTCCACTTATTCGTCAAAGTATAAGGTATTAAGATACAACAAAGCAGACTTTTATATAATGAAGAAATAGTAAAAGTACATTTTTTTGGCAAGTTTATTGAGTTTATTTATGTTAACATTTTTTTTAATAATAAAGCAGGTGTGAAACTTGCAGTGAAAACAAAACATGGCTAAGACTTTCTTAGATTGCCTTGTATTCAAAATGTAAAACATCAACTTTACCTACATTTTCACATTTAAATACTAATGAATATATTCCCCATTCTTATAGCTATGTTGAATTTGGGTTTGATTAAAGAACGCGTTTGCACTATATAATGGGGAAGGTGTGCTTAATATACTAATTAACACCTTGCCTACCAGCGGCATTACTGCTTGATAGAAGATCTAGTAAATTGCATGCCTAAATTGGCTATTTCTACAAAGCTAGGCATGTGCGAGTTTATGAACACACAGGGATGTTACATATGTATTGCGTGTGACTATAAATGAGGCGCCGCTGCTAATACGATGTGTATTACGTGACGTCATGGCGATTTTGACCTATTTGACCTGCTATGACGTCAATAGGTGTTATACCATGACATTACAAACAATCATTTCCCTATTTACAGGTAGTGTTATTCGTACAAGAATTTGAAATGTGTTTGTTATGTAAACATCTTTTTTCAAGTAGACTAAATTGAAAGTCTTGAGACATTCTAATCTTACATCACAAATTAGTGGCACGAGTCAAAATCTGAAGATTTTACATGGATTTTGATTGCGCAAGTTGCATCGTCACACGAAATGAACTGTTTGTTTTGTGCACAGTTAACAATTAAGCGCAGACGTTTTCTTCCTGTATACGATGACGATTGCGAGCTGGCATAGTTGAAAAATCAGTCAAATTACTAGGGCCCGCCCTTACGCATGAGTAAGAAAACCTGTTTTTAAGAAAGTAAGCTGCATTAAATTTAGAAGTGGCTGGACCACAGTAAGTGTTCTGTCTCCTGTCAAGCGTCAAAATGATGATATATATTTACATTTTCAATAAGTAATATATATTTTTAAATAGCAATAATATGGTTGCATCACGAACATATGTGTATTCGAAAATGTTCATAGTGTATGACAAAACATGTATAATTCTAATACGCTCACCATGTCACATATGCAGTCAGAAATATTTTGAATATTGGTTTTCAATATACCTATCTCCATTTTATTCGTGTTATATGCAAATAAGTCATCAGATATAGAGCTATTACTAAATATGATCTGAAACATTGATCTTGAAATTGATCGAAAATTTTCTATAATTTTTTGCTTTTGTCAAACCTAAAGAATAAAAGAAAATTAATGTCTACGACAAACTACGTTGGTAACAACCCGCAGTGCAGCAAACCAACAACACAGTGTTATAGAGAAAATTATAATAAGGGTTTGGTGGTAAATATATTAGAATGAGGTATATCTGCAAATCATCCATCTTTTATTACAATATATAATCCTGGTTTAATGTTTGTATGATATTAATGGTTGTTTTGAATTTTTGGATGTTATTCCACGTATGGTTGTTATAATACGGGGCACGACGTGCGTCACAAACTGACACAGTTTGGGGGGGGGGGATTCTAATAAACCACATGCGAAGGTATACGTCCTTAATAAGTTATGTGAAAATCAATGTCTGGTCGCTCACCAATACCATTAGTCGCCAATATGTGCTTTTCAGTTGATCCAGCTCCACAACTTGGTGTCATTGTGGCGAAATGTTGATTTAGGGAATCAAGTGTAATAAGGAAGCGCTCCAAATTATTAAGTTTAATTTTTTGTAATGTTTACAAAGTGTTTATGTGTGGAGCAAAATACGTTGTTTTGCCGCTATTTTGAATTCATAATGAATTCATTAGCGACATCTTAAATCAGCAAATTAGTTCTCTCGCTAAATTCGCTAAAAAACATGCTCGCTCGCACCTTTTATTCCGATAATCAGAAATAACTGAATCCTATCCTCAATCTGATTTGGCAAAGCACGTTGGCTAGTAGTCCATTTCATTTTGTATTTTCTGAATTTAATTTGCCATATTAGTAACACATGCCGGCAATTGACATGATCCGATACGGGAGACGATAAATCACGGTTATCATTTCGTACCGTTCACGGAATATTATAACCTACCTAGTGCTTCTCGGCCTATCAGAGCGCACCGCTGCATGCCTTTATTTACACCTCTTCAATGGTCATGTTCCCCGAGTCTGACCAGTGACCTTAGTAAGAACACAACTAGAAACAAGTCCCAGATCTCTTGGTTGCCATTAATTGTTTTCATAATTTGTCTTTACATGTAGTTATTTTGATGTGTGCACGGTGTAATTTGTACATGGAACCCGATGTCAGTAATTGTATTTTTGGGGTATTTCATGCTTAAAATGAATATCATGAACATTCGTACGTTGATCATTATAAGTTCCTCCTGAGTAATTATATACACACGTGTACTATACTCGTGCATTTTGTCATAAATAAATTAGAAGAAATCCTAACTAGAACATTTCTCTGAACTGGGATTGCAGTTCTAAATGAACGTAGGAAGTAGAAATAAACACAATTGTATGAAATTGAATATTTTAAAACATGTTTGACTATGAACTGAAACTGTGCGGGTAGTCACTCACAAGGCCACGTTGTTTTTCGGAAGGAACAGATGAAATGAATACAACAACAGAGCTAAACATTCTACAGGGATGCAACTAAAGTTACACAACGACAGAGGGAACAAGACATAAGCTAGCCAATGAGCATGCCAAATGTGGATATATTTGGCGATAAAGCGAGTCGCGTTTATTCATTTTAGCAACAGTCACAATAATCATCTAGGAATAGTATTATTGGTGGTGGCATGATATTTTTTTTTAAAATTAACATAATCCAAGAAATCGACATGTTTTGGTGAAGAACTACGCATTGTACCTTGCATTGTCTGGTCATTCATTTATTCATTAAGATTGAACATAACACAGAGATCTATTAATAATTTTTTGAAATATACAATAGAATAACAATATTATTTATTGAAGTACATATTGAATAATTAATTTATTAATCAATAACCATCTATACATATTAATAGATAATGGAATTGTAAAACGAGATTTCAAATTTTCTTTAAAATCTAAATCAGGTAAATGGAACAATCCTGTTTAATTCGATAAGGTCGATAAGATGATTTAAAATTTGGTAATGATAGAATCACTACATTGCTAATCGCATTGAGAATCTGTGTTTTTTGTCAAGTCATTTGTGTACTTAGATCTCACTGGCAGATTGGTGCGTGGCTACACATCGAGTGTGGCCAAACAGGTCAATTTATAAATTGTACGCTTTTTTGGGGGTTTTTGACAAAGCATGTACATTTCGATAATAATTGCGTAATCACCATGTAACATATGCAGTCAGAAAAGTTTGGGTTCTGGATACTCTATATAAACATCTCCAATGTGTCCCTGCTATATGCAAATGTACAAAGTACGTCAAAGCCAATCTAATTTCAACAGATATTCTTGAGTTGGTAAGAATTTACGATTTTGCAATGGGAAAGTTACTAATTACTTATTATTACTAATTGCTTATACTTTTCAAAGATATTTTAAATTTTCAAATTGTGAATGCCATATAAATATGTTACATCAAGTACAATATAAGCGATCTATTAAAATGTGAATAAATTACCCATTAAAAAATTAAAAGTTTAATTTCAGGAAAAAAAGACTTAGCACGAAATATTTGCAACATAATATATACTATATATATATATATATATACAGATATGGATGGTAATAATTATATCATTATTGTTACATTGTAAAATCATGTACATTCTTCTTATACAGAGTACAAATCAACATTTTAATGTTCACACCATTTTTATGTTACAAAACAAAAACAAAATAACAAATCGAATGTCTCAGATAAAATCATTTGAAATACAGTTATCAATTTCGCTGTACGTATATTGGCCGTTTTGGACCTGGTGATGGCGTCATCTTTCTGGACGGCGATCCCGATCCTGTCTGTAAAGAAGTCATACCTGTGTTACTGCGGACGCACTTTCGTCTTCGTCTGATTCCCAGCGCCCTCATGAACGCGGTTCTGAACTTAGACGAGAGTATGCTGTATAAGAGTGGGTTGATTGAGGAGTTCATGTACAGCATAATTCGACAAAACGTGGCGAGGCTAAGAATTGTGTATGGTGTGTGCTTCATGGAGAAGTCCCTGTCGAAGATAAAAATTAGAGTTACCGCTCTCTGCGGGAGTAAACAAATAAAAAACATAACGACAACAGCGAACAACATGACGACGGCTCGGCGCCGAGCTCGCAGCGGGCCTTGTGGTAAGGAATTCTTTGTGCCGTCTTTATTCTTCTTCTTATCGTCCTTTCTAATGTTAGCAAGCTCGTATTGATTCCTGTCGCTGTTACACGCTTGTCTTGGGTAATGAGCGCCCTTGGTGGAGTGCGCCTGTGTGCTTATTCGCAGGGCGTTGGCGATAGCAGTGTAAAGACCTCCTAGCAAGAAGAATGGTACAGCGAAAAAAAGCACCGTTAATACGACGATGAAAGCCCTGGCTTCTCGCGTATCGATGTACGTGCCGCATCTGTATACTCGATCGCCCTCTGGTGTTAAATCCGGTTCATGTTTCGCGAATAGAGTGTACGGAATGCATGAAGCGCCCGCCACGATCCAGATAAATACACATATTTTGATTGTTCTGCTTGTTGTGCATATGTATTGGGCTTTAAGTGGGTGACAGAACGCCACGTAACGCTCTACTGCGATAGCTACCAACGTCAAGACAGAAGCGTGGGAAGTGGTGTGCTCGAGGAATGGAACCAATTTACCTGAAATATTAAACGAAAGTTCAGTTAGAAAAAAATAACCCAGTATAACCCGGGAGTATCACCCAGGCGACAGGACGGGGTAACTTAGTTTTTGACGAAACAGAACGCCACAGGAAGTAAATAACCTCTGTTAATTTTCTGGCGCCGCTTTGTACGTCGTGACCTGAGAAGGTCGAACCTGTGAAATATGTAGTGATGTCACTTCTAATGATGCATTTAACAGTCGTTGATGTGATGCATACGAGCGTCCCCGGGAAGCGCCCTCAGGAGTAATATAACGTGCCAGAAGGTGCCTGAGTATAGTTCCTTCATTTGTATGTTGTTTCATTCGCGCTCTATAGTACTGGATTCATTGGCATGGTAACCAGTTAATGATGTTTAGGACAGTTTTACTTTTCTGGATTTCGCCGTATAAGCACATTTATAATATTTTGTTTATGATACATTCTCTTAAATATTACTAAGATTACCAACATATTTATAATAAATATGGAAAGTGATTTTTGAGTGTTAGCATTTGTTCGCCTTCGAGAAAAATCAAAATCAAATTAAAATTAACACTTACAACGTAAGTATTTACGTAAATGCAATACTTATGCAGTGCTGGAGCAGTGTGTCATTGTTTCGGGTTGATTCAACAACAGAAATACAAACATGTTGACAACAGAATAAATATTGTATAGATGACAAATATGTACATTGTGAAGTTCTGAGCAATCTAATTTGATTACAAGTGCGGATTTCTAGCTATGACTAAAACAGAATTCAGTGTTTATTTGCCTGTTTTTAAAAATTAAACGAACTTTCGTAGGACCACGAGTGTTTATTTCCATTTTATTTGCATTGCATATGCTTTGTCAATCCTAGACTGTCGATTTAAAAATATATATATATTTGCAAGTTGCAAAACCAAGGTAGCGATTACAATGGAAAAAATAATAAGCTCCCTTGTATCCAAGGCGACATCGCGAAAGGGATATGTGACCCAGAAAACTACAGAGAGTACATAATTAGCTTCAGTTATCAATTGGTTCGTTATTTATAAAGGCTCTTACACGATGGATACGTACAATACTGTCTAGGTAATGCTGTATGAACGCCTCGAGGAAGGTCTTTCCGATATCTGTGCTGCTAATCGATACACCATACTTTGAACGGCTTGGCATGCATTACGTCGTTTCCGGGATGGCCACACATGACCGTGTAGTACGTGTTTGTTTAAAGGCCACTTAGCTATAATATAACTGTATCTTCCCTAAGGATACCATTCGAGAAGATGCGAGGAACGATTATAGTGGTAGCTTTAGGAATGGCAGAGAGAACGTAACAGTGTTTCTAGTGAGCAAATGTTTAAGTTTACACATGATATGTTTGTGTCACTTTTTATTTATGAAAAGATATATAATTTGTCGTTTCACCGTTTATATATGTAAATTATGTCTCTACTTTTCACGAATAATGAACAATTCAGTAGCTGACACAATCAAACTCAACATCTACTCAATGTATGAGAAAGAAATGTATATTATAATATTATTATCATTATTACATTATTGCGGGCTAAATATGCATTATCTATAACAAATATTTTTTAATAATTACACCAAAACATTGAAGTAAGCACCATAATGTACGCAAAAACTAACTAAACAATTGTAACTTAACAATTGAGATAGACGTTGACTGAAACTGTAATGGCAATCAATCTCCCATGAAAAGAAAAACAAATATAATCACAAAGTGGTCATAATGCTCAATGCTGCGTGCTACACGCACGGCACACATTTAATCTGTACATGCTGTACTTAGGCTATATTATGTAAATTTTCTACGATTTGTTTCTCTATATCACAACACTAAAGACGTAATATAAGCCCACTTAGATGATGAAAATACTACTATATAGATACATTTGAAGTATTTGGTTTCAAACTAGTTAGGAATAAAGCTAATACACAAAGTTCACGCCAAGTTTATCATTTCACGCAGCGTGAGTAGTAGTGCATGTTAGTACATGTTTATTTTTAGTATTATTAAAAAAAAGATTTCCACAATTTGTGGATATAATTGAAATATACGATGCTACTAGAAATACGCCGACACAAATGACTCTGAGTACAAAGCAGCGGCAACTATATACCAATGTCTACGTTTACACAGCGTGAGTCGAACACGTGTTCGTCTGTTTTACGTATTATGAAATAAACAATTGCCAGAATGTCTCCACGCAATTCAAATATACGCTGTCGTTTTCATGTTGCTTGTATCACGACAAGTCGTCGCAATTTGCTTTTATTCAAACGGTCTAAGTCATAAACTAGACTAATATGATTGTAATATACATTGAATTCGTGTACTAAAATATAATACATTATAATATAGCTGTGAGTCTTGTGATGTGTGTGGCTAACCACTGTGGTTTATATTGTGATCCATACTTTCTGGTCATAGTTGTTCTCGATT